ACTGTGAATACAAAGCTCATATGAAGAGATTTCTTAAAGCTGTTGCTCAAAGAAGATACCCCCTCTGTGGTTCCACTTGAAAGCCACTGGTGACAGGTACCAGCCGCTATTGATCACTAGAGCCAATAGATGGAAGGAAGAATTGGGTGCAGAATAGAGGAAATGGGAAGATTAAAAGCTGTTGGGCAGTTCTACAACTGTCCAAAACAACCTCCAGGGAATAATGACTATTTTCTTCCAAATTTGCACTAATTCCTCATTGGACCCACTGAAATCTGGAACTACACAGGAAAGGAGATTCTGGGGAATGTATTTCGCATATTAACAAAATCCCCTAACAAAATAATCTAGCACTCACAGTGAAAGTCTGCCTAAATTTAGTCAGAAATGTTCTTCAAAGGCCTAGAGCAGACTTTGGAAAGGCTGCAGTGTGTGGCTTGTGCACATTGATAAGTTAAGTCATGAGGCACCTAGGCTGTAGGAGAGCCTTTGTTTGTTTAATGTATTAAAGAAGTGTAAGCTAAGGAATCAGGAGACTTAAAAGAGGACTGATCAGGGACCCGGAAGCACTTGCAGAGCCCTGGCCCGGGAATCTGGATGCTGGCTGTCACTGTGGACCTGCTCCCACCACTCACTAAATTGATTCCCCACTCACAAGATAATTCATCATTCACTGGATTCACACTTACTTTGCTGATTCACTTAAATCTTCTGTGCTGCAATTCCTTCATCTATGAAAATGAGGACAATGACTCCGGAACTGCTTTCTCCATACTTTCCTTGGAGAAGTTGATTGGGCCTTGGCAAGGCAGTTATGAGCTGAGGCAGTGAGCCCCTGCACATGTGGAGGCTGCCCTAGAAGACTTACTGTAGAAATTTGGTAAACTTCCTGCTGCCCTACTGCAGTTTTGCCTAGGAGGTTTGAGCTTCAGGAAACTCATGCAGAACAAAGACTCTGGCTTTTTCTTCTGATATCTGTTTCCCAGTGCCTTATCCTCACCAGGGCTCCTCTCCTACACCAGGTGGTAAAAGGAAGCTTGGTTGAGACTCGGGGTGCCCCAAGTCTTCACTACCGTCTGTGCCAGGCTGTTCCTCCGCACCACCCCACACTCCATCTACTCTTTCTACTTGCCTGAATCCTACTCACCAACCATTACCCAGCCCAAAGAGCATTCGCTCTCCCTAAACTTTTTGTGTATTTGTTTTTTGTTTTGCAGTGCTGGGAATCAAACCAAATTAAGGAGGGCTTGCATGTGCTAGGCAAGTGCTTTACCACTGAGCTACATCCCCACTCCTAAATGTTTTGGGTCCTTCTCAGCTGGTTGCAATTTTTAACCTTCTTTAAATCCCCCAGGCTACCCATCTTTCATTGAAATTGCCGTACTCAGACAAGGCTCTAATGTACACATTTGAGTACTTTCCATATTCTACTAAATGTCACATTCCCAGAAGCAGGAGACTTGCCTTTTGAACTCAAGCCACAAAATAAGTAATTTTTGGCATCCTCCACATTAAAGTCCAGACAGAATTTGGTACATAAATATTTGTCAAGTCGAGTTAAAAGAAAACAAATTAAGTACATGCAACCACATGTTGGTGCCCTAAATAACAAGAGTCTGTAAGGACACTGCTGCCCACAATAAAAGTAGAAAAATGAAGCATCTATGATCTTCAGCCACATGGAATCTATTGTTATGAATTTGGGGACTTTGCTCAATAAGCTCCCTCCTCCGTGTTGATATGATGACTTCAGAGATAAGACAGTCCAAATAGAAAACCCCCTGCCTGTGCTTAGAGGCAAATGATCTTTGTAGAACTTTATAATCCACAGCAGGGGACAAAATATTAAGCAGGCTGGTGACCTCTCTGTTTAGCTTAGGGCTGGAGCTGTCACTGAGCCACATCCTTTCTGGGAAACAATCCATGCACCCAAGATAAGGTTCCAAGAAGCTCTGGAGCCAGGAAAATTGTTTAACCAAGTGTCTTTTATCTTGTACATTCTGGTTGGTGGTTCCTTTCTCCAGACTCAGAACAGTTCCAGAAGCAAAACTGGTATCAGAAAATGGTCATGTTATCTCTCTACCATTGAACAAGTCACTTCCCTTTCTGGGCCTCAGTTTCCTCTAGAAGAAGGGAAATTGAAATAACTCTTAAAGTTCCCTCCCAGCTCTGCTCTTCCAAGATTCTATTCTGGCCTGCGAGCTGAGTTCCCAGGGCCCTGGGCTACTGTCCTTCCTTTCTCTGCTTCTAAAAGGATATGTGATTCAATTTTGCCATGGCCCTCCCTCCACTGGGGCATGCTTCCCTGTTCTCTGGAATAATGTGACTCTGCAGGTGATGACTATTTATCTGTCATCATGAAAAAGTCCTTAAACACAAAAGTTACAAGGAGGGAAGACTTCATCACAGATTCTCAGTAGTTCTTTCTCTATTCCAAATGATCTCTGGTTCATTTCAGTTGAAAATATCCACTCTCCAAACACTACAGAAGCCAAGAGGCCCTGAGCATGACAAATTATAGGAAGGAAGTTGCTGTGGCTGGAACTATTATTGCTCAAGGCATGAGTACTCACTGGTAATTGATTTTGTATACAGATCACAAACAAGCTCAGCATCATCAAGCCCATCAGCAGGCCACAAGCAGCAATCCCTGCTTTGAAACTCCTATTCACGGTCTTATGGTTGGTTCATTTAATGTATAGCAATGCTGACTGGTTAGAACACTAGTTTATAAGAGTTAGAAGGGAATCTAGATCTCAGCAAGTTCAAATTCCTTTCTACAGACATATAACTGGGTGCTAAAGAGGGGCTGATTGTGTAGTTTATGGTAGAATCAAGTCCTCTAAATAGCAGGTCCACACACTGCAGAGTACTCCAAAGCAGAGGTGGCTAAGATAGAGCACTCAGTTCATGCAGTTACCTAAAGAAGAGCCCCCTCACAAGCCTCACTCTAAATATATTTAGTCTTCTTTTTTATTAAGTTCCAATAAGAGCAGGTTAAGTGGTTTCTCACTCAGAACATATTAAAAATAAACCAAGAAGTACAACTACTAGACTGATTAAAAGACAGGAAAAGAACACTGCATAAAGGAGACATAAAAATTGCAAAGGCATATAGTCTGACAATATTCTATGCAAGACAAACAATATCACACAACTCAACATCCCCAAGAATCTCCCTTTAGTGTTATATTATGATAGTTGAAACTCATAAGAATGCCCTGGATCACCAAGAAAGTGTGAGCATGTTTCACATAAGAATACAGGGATTTGTATAATGCATTTTTTACAAAGAAGCGTTGCATCTAAAAGAAAAAAAAAACTTAAAAAGATTACACTTAGGTAGACTTTTAACTATCTAGAAACCTCAGTTAACCAAAATAGCATAGCAGCTGGGTTGTTCAAAGAAGTGACATTTGAGCTGTCTGAAGAAAGGCACATTCTATACTAAGGAGGCTGCTGTGAATTCGCTGCTATCTGCAGAGAAGAACAAATAGCAAAGCCATGATCTCATTTTCTGTTTATACTTCAATTCCCAATGTTAGTGATTAATTATCCCTGTGTTTTGTTGCCAGGGCAAATTGTTTTTCTTTAGACCGCCTTCTTATTTTTAAATAAATAAATCATTAATTTCAAAACAGAAGCGTCAAATGTCAAGATACTTCTGTCATACTAAGTTAATGAACAAAACAATGAATTTAATAGAAGCTACTTAGAGATAGACTGCCTTTAGGAACTTTCCTTTAATAACTTACCATTCTTAGGATTTTCTCATGTATCTTGGCTAAAGCATCACTCCAGAAATTACAAGCACAAATACAAGCTTAAAAGAATCAAGTTAGGTATGAGATGACAGGAGCGGTGGGTAGGTCAAGTATCCAAGTAAAACTAAATTCACCAACCAGCTGCCTAACACACACCACAAACCAGGCACACAATGAGCTTTGGGCAATCAGCCCAGGACCTCTGCTTTGCTCTCCGAATTGCCCTGGGCCTTCCAGCTCTTTTAAAGTTGGAAATTCTTTCAGTAAGTAGACAATTTTTTTGGCATCTGGTCTGAACATACACACAGAGAGACACAGTCTCTACAAGATTTCAATATACTTTCTGCATTTTAAAGACTACCTATTAAACACAGTTCTGATTTCACGACTTCCTATTCAGAAGTTTTTAGTACCTTCTACTTACAGAAGTAACGGTATCCACAGTCAGTCATAATCTACTTTCCACATACCCTTCCAAGAACATCTCCTAGTACAATTCCTCAGATTCCCTGGCTTCTCATAGTTCTCAGAATGGGTCTGCACCTTTAGTTCTTGTTAGCAAGTATTTATTAGCTAACTAATGCATGCCAGATCCTCTCCCATCCCCTGAGGACATAGCTATAAAGAACTGTCTTGATTTCCTGTTGCTTCTGTTCCAGTGGGGAATTTCACTCCTTTTGAGTACTGGCATTGAAGTGCTCGTCATGCTATATAATAGCTCCTTTCGTGTCTGCTTTCCTCAATCTGAACACTGCTGTCCTGTGCACGGCCCTATGTTTTCTCATTTTTGTCGCCCCCCCCCCATGCTATGCTCAGTGGCTGGAACACACTGGATGTTCAATGAATAACTTCTATTGTCTATAAAATTTCTTTCTTTGGAAATATAGTAAGTTTCTATTGCATACAGAATCTGCCTGCAAGGTATCTAACTCTTGTTAAATTTTAACAATGAGTTATTCTCAATAAGTAAGTCACTTGGTTGGCATCAGGAATGACAAATACCAAACTACTTCTGAAGAAACTAAACCAAATGAATAAAACTGATCAGATGGCCACCCTGACTTAACCTGTCATGTGTCTTTCCTCAAACCCAAGAATGCCTAACCCTCTTTCCTTGAGTTTCCCAACCTTCCTAGTTTACGTGTATACAGCCCCTTCCTCTTTCCTCCTGGAGATCAGGAAAGAAGCTAAAATGTGAAGCCACTCATCTTGTTCCCTTTCACTTTAACCTCAAAGGTAGAAACTGAAGACCAGGTGCTGGCAACCTTCTGTGGGAGGGAGACCACAGATACAGAGCAGACCCCAGGCCAGGAAGTGGTCCTCTCCCCTGGCTCCTTCATGTCGGTCACTTTCCGGTCAGATTTCTCCAATGAGGAGCGATTCACAGGCTTTGATGCCCACTACATGGCTGTGGGTAAGTTGGGGAACTGGGTGACTCAATCCCAGGACTGCCTTTTTCTATCAGGATAAAAACAGCTTTGCTCACTCTCCTTGACAGTGAACATCTATATACTCACCACATAGACACTACCGCTCATTTCTTACTGCCCGCTCATTCCACCACATATCTGCCTATCTGAATTAGCCAGCTTTCCTGTTACTGGGACACAATATCTGATACCCACAACTTAACAGTGTTAATTTCACTCATGATTGAGGGCATCTAGTCCATGGCCTTCTGGCTCCATGGCAGAAACAACATGGTGGGAGGGTGTGAAAGAACAAAGGTGCTTAGTTCATGGCAGCTGGAAAAGACAGCAAGGGAACAGTGCCAGAACAGAAGAGACCAGGAACCAGACATAGACACCCATGACCAGCCTCCATGACCCTAAGCACATCTACACATGTGCTCAACCAATCGCTCCAGGGAGATCCCAAAGCCAATCAGACTGAAACTGCACCCTAACCACCACATCATCTATCTGTCCTCTACTCATCTATTCATCTTTTTTGATACATCCCAAAGGGATTGCAGGCTTTATACTCTACTTGCTTGATACTTCAGCATGTATATATTTTGTTAAGTTCCATCTCTGTTCACAGGGGTTTTTTTTAAGTGTGGCATTTACATTCAATGCAATACACAAATCTTAAGTATACATTTGTTGAGTTTTAAAGATTTTGTATTTGCATATAATCCAAACTCCTATCAAGAAAATAATTTCAACCTAGAAACGTCCCTCATGCTCCTGCCCAGTCAATCCTTGCTCCAAATCCCACAGAGCAAACAATTCTTCTGATTATTTTAGCCATAGATTACTTCACCTCTTCTAAAACTTCACATAAGTGAACACATAGAAAATAGACTTGGAGAATGAGGATTCTTTTACTCAGCATAATGTTCTTTATTTTGTTGCATGTATCAGTAATTTATTCTTTTTCCTGGCAGTGTAACGTTCATACTATAAGTCTTTTTTATTCATTCTCCTATTGATGAGCACTTGGTGTCTACTTATTTTTGACTCTTATTAATAAAGTTTCTATGAGCCTTCTGGTGCTTCTTTTTGTGAACATGTTTTTATTTCTTTTGGTTAAATATCTAGAAATAGAATTACTGGGTCATAAGGCAGCTATGTTTAGTTTTATAAAAAAAAGTTAGCAGACTTTTTTTTTTTTTGCATCATTTTATGTATGTCCACCGATGTATGGTATGGCTGCTCCATATCACCAACACCATTGGATGTTTCCAACTTTTAAAATTTTAACCATTGTGGTATGTATGAAGTGGTACTTCATTAAGGTTTAAATTGTGTTCCCTGAAGACTATGTTGTTTAGCATGCATATTTTCATATGATTTTTGTCATTATTTGTTCCTTAGGAGGCATGTAGATTCAAATACCTAGGATAGTGCTTTACCCATGTTAGTGGGAAATAAAAAAAGAAAGAAGGAAAGGAGAGAGACAGAGAGATGGGGGTGGAGAGGGAGAGAGAGAGAGAGAGAGAGAGAGAGAGAAAGAGAGAGAGAGAGAGAGAGAACAGGAAATAGAAGTTAAGAGCCCAAGCTGTGAAGCCAGCCCACTGGGATTCTTTATGTCTCAGTTTCATCATCTGTAAAATGAGGACAGTAACAGCCCTGTTTCCTATGACCATTGCCTGGCACAGTAACTACCACCACTGTTAAACAATAGTCGTTCCACGATGAGTCAGGTTGCCTAGGTTGGAACCTGGCTGTCTGTGATCTTGGGTAAGCTGCCTCACGACTCAGAGTTGTGGTTTCTTTGCTTGTGAAAGGAAGATAGTGGCCACCCCTGGGCCTTGTATAAAGACAGAATGAGAGAAACCATAAACCTCCTGATAATGAGTGAGCATCTCAACTGAGTGCTCTATGCATGTTGGTTTTCATCTCCATCATCATGCATGCATTAACTGACTGAAAGGTACCTGCCCCACAGATGTGGACGAGTGCAAGGAGAGGGAAGATGAGGAGTTGTCCTGTGACCACTACTGCCACAACTATATAGGTGGCTACTACTGCTCTTGTCGCTTCGGCTACATCCTCCACACAGACAACAGGACCTGTCGAGGTAAGGCTTGGGGATAATTTGTACATTGCTATCATGAGCTGCATCTTCCACTATGAAGCTCAGAGAAAAGACAGAGACACAACAGGAACAATTCAAAATGAAATCAGAGATGCAGCTCAGATACAACATGCATGGAGATACTGAGATGCTCACCCAGCCTAGAAGCCTGGGCTTCAGTTCTCCAAACAGTGCATGAGAGAAACTCTATTAGGCTATCTTTATTCCTTCAGTCCTTGGCAGTATTGTTGCCTCATAGGTCCCTGGCTCCTTTCCCACTGTAGGTAGTCAAACCTGGGCAAGTTTGGGAGAAACCTGGGTTTCAGTCTTTTCTTCCTGACCCATGAACTATGCCTCCTAGCACTTTCTTTTTCATTTGTTTCTATAGCCCCTAACTTCACCTATGAAAGAGGTAATCTCAGTCCAAAGGAAAAAGGAGAGAAGCAAAGATGGACCCAGTTAGAAAACTTCCCATTCTTCCTATCTTTCTTTGTTTTCATCTCCCATCACCAGGTCTCCTATAGTCTTGGGCTGGGGCAGGGATACAGAAATGGAAGGTGTATGAGTCATCTTTCCTCTTGATGGGACACAGTATCCAACACTCACAATTTAAAGGAGGAAAGGTTTAATTTGGCTCATGGCTTTGGAGGTTTCAGTCCATGCTTGGCTGGCTCCAATATGAAAAACAGCATGGTGGAAGGGCATGGAGAAGCAAAGCTGCTTAGTTTATGGTGTCCCAGAAGCAAAGTAGGACAGTAGCACCAGAGAGGAAGGGGTGAGGGACCAGATATAGCAAACCCATGCCTCCATGACCCAAGCAGACACACCTAGAAGTGTGCTCCACTGATACACCCTATGCCAGCCCCATAGCCAATCAAGTTGACATGGTACCACCTTCTGCTGCCTGAACCAACAGAAGGGTTCGGCCACTTTGCAGGAGTAGTCCCCTTTTAGAGGGGTAATAGCTGCATAAACAAAGGGTTAGATGCAGCCAATGCTACCTTTATTACATTTATATAAAGGAAGTGTGGATATAGCACAATCAGAACTGAGCTGGCCTGGAGAAGTGGACAGATGCTTCCCACAGATTGTGTCCCTTGACAGGGATGAAAGAATAGGAGAAGGAGGGCATTCCATATGGGGACCACAGCTTCTGCAAACAAGGTGTGATCAAATTTGGGACATTTGGGGGAACTCCCAGGAGCTTAGTGTGATGCAGGGTGAGGGATCATGTTTGGGATCTCACTTGAAAGCAGAATTGGTGATCGCTGGATGAGGGCCAGGATAAAGACAGAGTTTTCTTTCTCTTTCAAAAAGTGCTACTTGTTTCTGAATAAATCCTAGGGCCAGGGATTTAGCTCAATGGTTCTGCTGCCTGCCTCGCAAGCATAAGTTCCTGTGTTCGATCCCCAGTACCAAAAAAATAAAGGACTTCTGAATAAAGCCTGTATTACCTATCAGTAAAGAGCAGTATAAAACAAAGAAACATAGAGGAATTTTCTTGAAGAGGATTATATTTTATATTGTTTTCATTCAGTAAGTATTAAGTATACACTATGAGCTGAGTAGAGTAAGGGCTACAAAAGCTGAAGTAGAGCGTGGCTTCTCAATTTTTTCACCCTTGCTCCTAGGAGTTTCCCTTTTATTGGTACCACAAAAATGCTGTATGTGTGTTCATGTACTGTATGTCTACCTATACACTGTACATAAGAGTAAGACCTCTCCTCTCAAGGGCCAATTTTGGTTGCTCTTGGGATGAAGATAACTCCCAGTGGAATGCTTGGTGTAGAAAATGAAAGCAAGTGGGAATTCAAGATACCTCAGTCTAAATCTCCTGCAGCTCATCACTGTGGGACTTTTGGATACTCATGCCTCTCTTGCTGGGCTTCAGTTTTCTTATTTGCAAATGAGCAGGGATGAACAAAGACTTAGAAAGCATGAATATGCTAGCACTTACATGGGTCAGCTCAAGGGCCAAAGTTCAATGGCAAATAAAGTCTCCTCGAATGGCTAAGTCGTGGCCAGCCAGTTTCCCAGGACACTGAGTCCTTGATGCAGTAAATGAAAAGGCAAACAAAGCTGCACTCACAGTCTAGAGGGAACAAAGAAATTAACAAGTGAATGTGACACAGGGCCAGATAGTAGAAGCACTATGAAGAAAACAAAAGAAGCTCAGGGTTGGAGGGTGAGGGTCCTGTACTAGATGAGAATCAAGGGAGGATCTGAACGGAGACCTAAATGAATCTGGCCAAAGGGGAAAACAGGGCCAAAAATCCCCCCTTGACCACTTTGTCTCAAAACCCTCCTTTCTGAAAGTCCTTGTCTGGCCCCTACAAGTGCTAGGGAAACTGATGAGAAAGGTCATCACATGGGTAAACAGATCTGAGTAGAGGCTTAGAAGTTCTGCATTGGAGTTTTGACTGCAGGTTACAGGTATACAGTTTGGTTAAATCACTTCACTTCGTGGAGATGCAATTTCCCATGTGTGAAGTAGGGATGCTGATTCCTTCCCTGCTCATCTCATGGGGTCACTAGCAAAAGCACACAGTGACAGACAAGCAAGGGTTTGCTGTGGCTACAGCCCTGGTGTGCCATCTTCCCCATATGTTTCCCACAGTGGAGTGCAGTGACAACCTCTTCACCCAGAGGACCGGCCTGATCACCAGCCCCGACTATCCCAACCCTTATCCCAAGAGCTCTGAATGCCTCTACAACATTGAGCTGGAGGAGGGCTTCATGGTCAGCCTGCAGTTTGAGGACATTTTTGACATCGAGGACCATCCTGAGGTGCCCTGCCCCTACGACTTCATCAAGGTGAGCTTGGAATGGCTGTCTCTTCCAGGGATGCCGGGAATTCTGGACTGAACTGGGAAAATTGATATTATAGGCTTTTCAAATTCTCCCAAGATAGGGAGTCAAGCAGCTACTCCCCCGACACACACACCAAAAAAAATTACTTAAAATAACAGTTGCCAGCTTAACCAGATCCAGTCTGAGGATCTTTCCTGAACCAAAGCTGGCTCGCTGGCCACCAGGGTGGTTTGGGGTAGAGAGTCACAGGGTCAAGTGTGCATTCTGGAAAGATCCCTTGGGGGCAGTCAGTTCAGGGGTGTGCAGCCTGTGTGGTCACACAGGACCCTATACTCAGAAAGAGCCCATGCTATTTTATGGGTCTATTTTATTGGTCATTTATGGTTGATCTCCACCTACACTGCAGATCCTTAGAGGGCAGAGACCTGCTGTTTTGTGTGTTGTACAAGGCTCTGCCCTTCTCTCAGCCACAATTCATTCATCACTGAGCAGAAGATTATTAACTGGCCTTGTCCATTTCCAGGGCCATTGTAAATTCTAAGCAAGAGAGTAGAGATGAAACTGTTTGGTGATTGGCAAGGCCTACTAAAAACACCAGTGAATGCCATAGATTCCCATCAAGGATTCCAGAAAATCCAAGTGCAGTATAGCAGTGGTGCCCCTCTGCTGATCAGATGTAACTCTTCTCTTCGTCTGCATTGCCTTCCTTAGATTAAAGCTGGCCCCAGTGCTTTTGGGCCCTTCTGTGGGGAGAAGGCACCAGAACCCATCAGTACCCAGAGCCACAGTGTCCAGATTCTGTTCCACAGTGACAACTCGGGCGAGAACCGGGGCTGGAGGCTCTCCTACAGGGCTGCAGGTAAGCTCTGTCCTCCTAGACCCTACTGAACCACATCACTCAACCCTCACAAGGAGGGAGGTCATGGGAGGATAAGGTGTAGCCCAGGACTCTTCTGGGTACCTGGTGGGACTCCTGCTGAGTAACTCGGCACCAAGGCACATGCTCTCTCCTGATTTAGTTTCCTATCAATAAAAGGGGGTCAAGGGGAGCAATGATGTTATGTCTGGACTAGATTGGTAGTGTTGAAAACTGGCTGTACTTCAGCATTGTGTGAGGAGATTAAAAATAGAAACCTTGTTTCCTGAACCCCACCCTCACACAGTGATTCCTTAGGCCTGGAGAGGGGCTTCCAGCTGCAGCCTCCTCTAAGTCTGGGACTGGAATTTGGGTGTAGCTTGTAGCTCAAATGTCTGATTATGGTGGTTTCCTCCCTGTAAGACCCTAGACTGTCAAAGCACAAAAGTCCCACTTCTAAGGTCCCAAAGAAACCAATCTTGACCCAAATTCTGATAAAGCTATTGTACCTAAGTCATCTGAACACCCAAAGAAAAAGAGGATGGGTATCAGCTCAGCACGACTGATCTGTTTCGTAGACCCTGAAACCCTGGCTCTGTGTGCATGATCTCATCTGTTGCCCACTCTGGGGACAGGAGTGGACAGGAAATTAACAAAAGAGAGTTTATCTAGGAAAAAGTGTCGAGGGTACTTGAGGATCTGATCATAGTTCCCCTTAAAGAGAGGACTCAGAAACATACAATCCCATCTCTGATGCTTTGAAGAACAGGTGTGAAAAGAAAGGGTAACTAGAGTCATCCTGGGTGGCCCAGTGGCAAAACTTAGAAGGGCATGAATTTCAACTGAATTGAGGAACAGGGGAGTCCGTGAGTGGAAGGTACAGGTATGGGAAGGACTGAGATCCTTGTCACTATAGGACTGCAAGAAGACATTGGGTGTCGGTACAGAGGACATTGTAAAGAAAGCATGGGACAAGAGTTGGATTCAGTGACCTTTAATATTCCACGCAACCTTGAGTTTGAGTGAAATCATTTGGCCCACCACCTTGTTTTGTCAATATGGAAATGAGGGGGAGTTGGAGAGTGCCTTGCTCCTGGCTTTAAAGCAAACTCTCCTGCAGGGCTTAGAAAGGCCTCCAATACCCAGTTCTGTTGCTTCCACCTCCATCACCCCTTGCTTTCTAGGGGCTGGTACTTCACTGCAGAGTTTTCTTTGTTTTCTCACCTGCTGTCTTTTCATTTGCTTCCCACCAGGAAACGAGTGCCCAGAGCTACGGCCTCCTGTCCATGGGAAAATCGAGCCCTTGCAAACCACATATTCCTTCAAAGACCAAGTGCTCATCAGCTGTGACACAGGCTACAAAGTGCTGAAGGTGAGGAGAGGCCAGCCCAGAGAAACTCTCCAGAGCCTCCCAAGGCAGATGGGCTTCCAGAACTTGCCATAGCACTAGCAGGGTATTTGCTAGCCATCCTAGAAGCCTCCCAAATGCTCCAGCATTTTAAAGTATGTGTCCCAGACTCCTTTCACTTCTAGAAATGGCACCAAAGTCTTTTATCAGAGCATGGGCTGACTTGGCTTTTAAAAACTCAGTCTCTGCAACTCTATAATCTCTGTAGTTAGGGCTAAGAACTTTAACATAGTTCATCAGGCGGGTTACTGAAAAGGGAAGTCAAGTTGTTTAAGGTAGCAGACGCACTGCTTACTCTACCGCCCTCTGAAATACTGGTTCTCCAACTTAAAAATAAAGCAAATTATCTCCCAAGACTCACTTCAGATAAACTAAAGGAGTAGCTCTGGGGTGGGACCAGTGCTTGGTATGTTTCATATGTTCTCCGGGTGAACTTAAAGTGCAGTCAAGCCAGAGGATCACTGGTCTCAAGGGTGGTTCTCAAAGAAGGCCCTGGACTGGCAGCCTCAGCATCACCTGGGAACTTGCTAGAAATGCAAATTCATAGGTAGATCAACCCACTGAGTCAGAAATACAGACCCAGGGCCCAGCAGTCTGCTTTAACAAGCCCTCCAGGTGATGCTGACTACTTGTTCAAGTTTGAGAAGCAGTGTTGTGAAAAAGGAGTCAAGGCTACAACTTCCTCTTTCTAAACAATTGCCCCAGACCCTCCAGCACATGGCCATTGCCCCTTTCCAGAGTATGAACTGGGACATGGAAGTCTTCGCCTTCTCCTTACACTTGCCCTTGGAGGTCCACATGTGGAAAATCCCAATTGAGTTCAGCCGTGTTGGGAGTGTGAGTTAGTTTTGCTGGAAAACAGCCACTGACCCCATTCCCTCTTTCTTTTCCCTCCCTCCTTCTGGTTTCTTCTCAGGATAATGTGGTGATGGACACATTTCAGATTGAGTGTCTGAAGGATGGGACCTGGAGTAACAAGATGCCCACCTGTAAAAGTAAGAAAACCAAATAGGTTCATTATAAGGATAATGAATTCGTTTTTGCTGGTGGGATGGGAGCAGAGACCAAGCCAGGACAAAAGTCTGGCAGGAGCTCTCTAAGAGGGGTAGGGTCAGGAATTCAAGAGACCCATGAGAGCTGGACAAAAAGAACACTAGTGCCCCTTCCTGCAATAAGACACTGAGATCCCAAAGCAAACTTTTGTGGGCCCCGGTGTACTTCCTAAATACTTTCACCTGTCTCCAGACGGGCTGTCAAACTTGCTACAGGAATATCATCATTGCCAGATTTGAAACTAGCTCTGACAATTGCTAATTCAGGAAACCAGTTTGGCACTGTTGCCTAGAGCTGAGTTATCCTGTGGTCTACACGGCCATCCTCTGTATCCACTGAGCCTTCTGGGGAAGCTCGTCATTTAGGGCTGTGTGGATCTGGCTGTTGGGTCCACATAGTGGCCCTATAGGAAGTGAAGGACATAGCTATTCATTGTTCTTAAGGCCTGGAGTCCATGCCTTGGCTCTACCCCAAAGGGCTCTTTGACCATGGACAAGATCTTTTACCTCAATTGTAAAGTAGTTTGTCCTGGCTTTAATATTCTAGAATGTATGCCAATGGTTCTAAAATAATATAGTCTAGGGCCGGGGATTTAGCTCAGTGGTGCCGCTGCCTGCCTCGCAACCACAAGGTCCCAAGTTCGATCCCCGGAACCAAAATAAATAAATAAATAAAATCATATAGTCTATATACATCCTCTACTGGTCACTGTAAAAAAATAGAGATTTGCATCTACTACCTCCTCTCCCTTCACTCTCAAGAGATTTCGGTGCAAGATCTGTGTGGACTACGATTTTAGAAACTTACATGAGGCAACTGTGATGAAGAGAGGTATAGTGATAGAGTAAGTCAGGGAGGGAAGAAAGGGGACAGGAACTGGCTTCAGAATGGAAAGTGGAGAACGAAGCTTGGTCCAATTCATCCCCAGTTCATGAGTTTTCATGTAACCTTTGATGTGCCGTCCTCTTCCTTTTCTCCCAAATGGCTCCTGCCAAAGAGGATACTGGTAGGAACGGGAGCTCCCTTGCTGCAAGTTCCAGGCAGAATTTGGAAGCATAACATGTTGGTCTTTCTTTTTTATATAATGAGGTGGCTATAGTCAGGACTGGCATGGGAAAAGAAAGGTATTTTGTGCCTTCAAAACAGAAGTTTCAACTAACATTTAGTGGCTGTCTGAGCAGAGTTTTATTAAGAATTCAGGTAGGAAAGATAAGGTCCAAGCAGGAAGAACTCAAACCCTATCCAACCCAGCTTAATGTGGTGCTGTGTCTAGTTCCTAAGCCAGGCACTCTGTGGGACAAAGTAAGAGTCAGTTTGAAGAAGGTATAGGAAGATGTGAGATGTTCGGGATAGAATCTGGCTCTGCAGTCATGAAGTTCCAGATTCAAAGGCAGATCCTGTGAGTTAAGTGTCCCCAAGCAATCTACTCAGACTCTTTTGGCCTCAGTGTGCTGATCTCAAGACTGTTCTGAGGACTAACCAGGCTAATGTACACACCACACCTCTAGAGGACCAAGAATAAATAATGCTCAATAAAAGCTTATTTCTCGCTACTCCTGGCCCAACCCACTCATTAGGAAGAGGTTTAGTGTCTCTCTCATTTGCATTTTTGGAAAGCAGAGAATGTTATTAATATTTTTCCCTGATGAGACACATGCTTTTTATTATAATGCAGGCATTGATGGAAGTAAGGCACTACTGTATTGGAAAGTGCTATTTTTGTGATTCATATTAGGATATAATAGGATGTTCCGTCTTTTTAACAATATATGACCTTAGGGCTACAGTTCAGTGGTAGAGCACTTGCCTAGGGTGTGCAAAGCCCTTGATTAAATTCCCAGCACTGGAAGAAAAGAAATAAAAAGTAACAAAGAAGGAAAATAGAAAGAAAAGAAAATATGACCCAACTCCTTCACAGCGGGCTGAAAGTCCCAGGGATTCTGGGGGAAGAAACTAGGAATAGATAAGAAATGTGCAATGTGTGATAAATATGCATCAGAACAGGAAGTGGCAACTATAGGTTGTCTTGGCCCTCCCTGCACCTTGAGTCCTGCTACACTCTAAAAGCTCTCCGTCAGATGAGAATTTGGAACTGATGAATGCAAACTTTCCTGCAGGAGGAGAATTTCATAATCCTCTCCTAAGGAGCCAGGAAGTATGACTATGCAAATTCTCAGAATGGTACAGATTCACAACCCAAAACTGTCCTTCCTTGACTGTCCCTCAACTGTGCATTCTTAATCAATTCGGGTGGAGTGGTTTCTATATTTCCTGCATGGACTATTTCTGCTTTGCTTGCTAATTTTTCTCTTCCTCTCCTTTGTCTCCCTCTCTTCCTCTCTCTGATTCCTTCCTCTGTGTCTCCTGACCCGCTCTGGCTCTGCTATGGTGGCAGAAAGCAAGATTGATTTGGAGAGCAAGCTCGAGGCAGAGCAAGTGACAGATGAATGATGAGAATCCCACACGGTGCCAGCATCCAGGGATCCATCCTCCTCAGAGACCCTGGGGCCCAGAGCTACTGCATCCCTCCCCACCTGCCAACACTCCCTTGCCCATTTTGGTGCAGATCATGGATGCTGAGCTAAGCAACACAGCTCAGCAGTCGAAGCTGCTGGGTGTCTGAGAACAAATTATCCCCTGAGGGTTCACTCATTCAAACGTTACATCAGAAAATAATGAAAAGACAATGAACAATTTTTTAGGCCTTCTAAGTGGATTATACTCTTCTCAAAGCAAAAATGCCTTCAGTTAGAAACATGAGATTTGATATGCAACCATGCAGCCTTTGGCTAACCAGATCAACGTGGGCCTTGCTTTCTAATCCATTTCACAATTCAAATGGGCCATAAGGCCAATGACTTTATGACTTTAAAGTTTGTGTCTGTTGCTACTTTCTTAACAAACCTGAGTAGGTAAAATGAATAATAATCCAAATAGTATGGATCTTTGAGAATCTGGGTATTTTCTCATTCACAAAAGTATCCCTTCTACTTACACTTCACACAGGGCTGCAAGTTTATCATTAGGGCTTCTTTCCTCTGGGGTTTACAAGCTTTGTGTGTCTTAGAATTTGCCAATGAAAAACTTTGAAAAGATAGGCATCACATGTGAAAGCAGTGGGCTGCAGCTCCGGAACTGTGGATGTTACTGGGTCATAAATGATGAAGAAGGCCTGAGGAGCAGCAGCCTGCATATCAGGAGCTCTCTGCCAGGCTAAATGAGGTCTAGACACACATCTCAGAGGACCCTTCCATTGGACTGCGACTCCCCAACCTACCCGATGAGTAATTGGCCACTTGGTAAGGGCAGAATACTACAAGCATGTGCAGCAAGCAGTCTGGAGGGTGAGGTGCCATCCTAGTATAGGGATACCACTGGTTACTGATTACCAGTATCAGCTGAAAAAAAATGCTTGTGAGCCCACACAGCATTAGCAGACATCATATTTATTGTGATAGAGGGATTCATAATGGAAGAGGAAGATTTGATATGTGCCCAAATAATTGCGATACCAGGCAACATAAGACAGAGGGACACATATAAAGAGTTTCAGAACAGGGAGGCTGCCTTGTCTAGTCAGAAGAATTAGAAACAATTTTCAGAAAGAAGAATCATTTTATCAAAACCTGAGGGGTGACCACATGGACATGGGGTGTCCAGGCAGTGGTGACAGCATCCGCAAGACCGGAAAGTGGAGGCAGCAGAAAGTAGCACATTGAAGGTCACTGATATGAAGTGTATGTGGGGAAAGAAGAAGATGAGCCTGGCAAGGGGGACGGGAGTCCATCCCTGGTCCTGAGAGACAATGACAGCTCAATCTGTGTAGTTCTCTAGGGACGCCCCAGGCTGTGGTAGAGCGTGCTCAGAACTGCAGGCTAAGAAGGATAAAAGGTAAAAGATGACAGTGGAGACATAGCAAAGGATGATGAGCAAAGAAAGCCAAGGAAATGGGAAAGAGAAAGCATTTTGATTCCAGGGTATGGAAGTCACCAGAGAAAGCTTTACAAACAAAGGGTAAGACCTTTCCTAAAGCAAGCATAGTTGAGCTGAGACACAGCATCTGATGCAGCTGATCGTACCAGGCAGGCTCAGAGCCCTAGTGAAGGGAAGTACCCTCCAAGTCCCAGAAACAGAAGGCTCTTTGCCTGCTGTTGAACAAATGGGAAGAAGGTGTTCCCTTTCCCATTCACTGTAACTATATTAACTTGACCCTCTGTTTTCAACTGCTTACCACCCTCTTTCTCTGGTTGTAAAACCAGCTCTTATCAATGAGTAGAATCACTTCTCTGGAGCTATGTGAAATCATGCCCTCTTCCCGGAAAATATCTCCTCACCAGCCCTGGCCATACAAATCCAAAGCTAGCCCTGGAATTCTTCTGCTAAGAACCAGGCAGTTAGGTCCCAAGGATACTTTAAACTGAAGGAGACAACAGCAATACTAATATCTAGTCATTGGGCAGTGGCATTTCCTAAAGAAGAGGAAAAATCTACCTTGAGTCTCAGTAGAAAAATAAATGAAAATTTGTTTGTAGTTTCAAATAATAAATATTATTACCTCTTATTATTCTGGTATTAACTTTTAAGCATTTACTTCACAAATTAGAAGCGTGTTTCTACTTTGGGTGACCAAAGCAAATGAAAATGATTTGTCCAGAGAGGTTAGAGGGCAGGAAAAAATGGTTGTTTGTTTGTGTTTTGGCTTTTGCCTTCCTTGTAGGTAAGAAATGCCTACATTTACTCCCTTCTTATCCCTTTCCTGCAACCTACAGGGCCTTGAAATCCTACATACTTAAATTAGATAACTCTCTAAAGACAAAAAAGATGAATTAGAAATCCTAACGTTAAAATCCCAATGTTTACCTAGCATGTAGGAATAAATTGACCCTCTGTTTCCTAAGATGAGAAGGTGAAATCAGGAGGAGGTAGAATTTTAGAAATTCCACCAGGACTCTGGAAATATTGACAGCTAATGTCCACCATGAAGCCACATAATATCTAGGATAGGCTATTTAGCAGGAAAACAGATCATTAGAAATGATCAGTACCACTTACTAAAAAGGCACTGAGTTCGAGATCAGCTCGAGTGTTCACTGACTAACTCTCTGGTGACCTTACATGAATCAAGTCTCCTCTCTGAGTTTATCTGAAAAATAAAGAGGATCTTCTGGATTGGTTACCTGCGGTCCTTTCCATTTGTGAAATTCCACAGTTCCCCTCTGATTCTTCAACTCTGCCTCACGCTGTTAGTACCTAAAGTTAGGATTGTCTCAGAAATAAATGAGCATCATTTCTTCTTCTAAAGGGGGCTCCTGAAAAGATATTTATAAATCAGGCCATCAATTTTAGCCTCTAATATGGCCATGAAAAGAAGCCCTGAATCTGGGCTGACTCATGGCGAAATCCATCAGTGCTGCCGACTCCCTGGGAGCCAACTGGCAAGCTCCCCAAAACCCGTGGCTGAGAAGCAGGCATCTTTGGTCATGTTCCGTAGTGTGAGCACAGCCAGCCTGACATCCAGCCACCAACTGGAGAAAATGAGCAAGTGAAGACTAAAAGTTGGTCCACCCTGACCCTCTCCTACCCTCCGTGGCCAAGCAAGTTGTCAGTAGAGCCAGCAGGGTGTGGCTGTGTACTCATGCAAGAAGAAGCTGTGGTTTCTTGTTCTGTTGGTTACCGTGTGTGTGTGTGTGTGTGTGTGTGTGTGCGCGCGCGCGCGCGTGCGCCAAGCTCCAATGTGAGCACTTTAACTGCTCTTATTTAGCCTGTGGTTGGGATTAAAAGAATGGAAGGGTTTTTGGTTCATGTCACCCAGAATTTTCTTTCTGAGCCATGAGTTTCAAGCTTGGGCAAAAGAAGCAGAGGGGATTACATAATAAGACTGGAAGCCAAGGAAGGAGGCTATGGTGGAGAGGAGATGGGGTCTCCTTCAATCGCAGCACACCTGTCCCTGCCCTAAAAGTGACCCTGTGCCAGGTGAGTTGAGCATATAGTAGTATCATCATGGCCACTAGAAGCTGTACAAGTTATACGCTGTACATTTCCATGAGCACCACTCAACATTTACTACTATAACGCTGTTCTATCAGGACTCTAGAAATACTTAGCACAGATTCTCCCAGGACTCTGAATATAGGGATGACTAATATGCAGTACATAACCTGCACATCAGTATAAGACAGATCCATCAGATGGCACTAAGAGAAAGCAAAAGGCAATTAAGGGGTCTTCTTTCTCTCTCAGTTGTAGACTGTGGCACCCCAACAGAGCTGGAACATGGGCTGGTCACCTTCTCCACGAAGAACAACCTCACCACTTACAAATCTGAGATCAGATTCTCCTGCCAGCAGCCCTATTACAAGTTGCTTCACAATATCACTGGTAAGCTCTCCATCCTGAACTAACCTGCTCCAACCTCCTACCTTCTGGGCCTCAGAGTTAGGCTGGGAACTGAAACAGCTCTCTTAGGGATAACTGCTCATAAGTCTGTGAGACCTCATAATGCATGGAGTGTGTTCTCACATACCATCTCATCTGATGCTCACGTCCCATGAGCCAGTGTTAATGGTCTATTCAGAGATGCAGACCCTGAATCTCAGGACCGAAACCCAGGCTATTTTTCTTTTAATTTAAAATCTAACACTGATTCTACTGATGAGTATAGACCCGGTTGGTGGAGCTTGAAGGAATGGTATAGGACCCAAGTAAGGGAAGAAATAAGAATTTAAACAAAGCCTGAGTTCTCCCAAAATAAATTCATTCATAAGGTGTGAGGCTGAGATGAGGCGCCCAGGAAATGACCATTGTTTCTTCTGTCACTTCAGACAGTCTCTGCCTCAGCTGCTGGCCAAGAATAATGTCTAACCAGATCAGAGCCATGTGGCAGGCCTCAAAGGAGTCCTCCTTCAAAGACCTGTTCCTCTGGGAGGCTCAGGGTCCAGGTGGAGTTGGGGAGTGAGGGGCAGATCTGTTTCTCCTGCCAGGTGGCTCAAAACACCCCCTGACCAAGACTTAGCACAGCTGTGGCTGTCCTCATTAAGACCTCACCCCTACCACTGAGCAGGGAGACCCAGCTGCCCCAGGGATTGGGCAGAGGCACAGGGGCCAAAGGGAAAAGGACCACCAATAACCAGTCCATTGGCCACAGCCAAGGTTCGGAGGAATTGAGAGGAGAAATACTTGGAGGTGCATCCCACCTCTCCCAAGAGTGAGGCTTTGGGCTCCCCAGCAGCCTCACACACTCAGAGTCCCCAGCAGAAAAGGAAGCCTCAGAGACATGGAAGGCCCTTCTACTCTGCCTCCGTGGCATACACGCACTAGAAAAAGATTCCTAGTTACTCCAAGTCTTCAAATCCTCACTTTCAACGAGGATATGGTGATACAGATCACAGAGCTATTGTGAGATTCCATAAGATAATAGACACAAATGTGGCTTATTAAAGAGTTTAAATGGAAAAGGGAGGGTAGGATATGTGTGTTGCAGAGAGCTATACGAACCAAGGTCTCTGTGACTAACAGGAAGGAGGCACCTGCCAGGGCATGGGGAGCACTGGGTGGGGTGGGGAGCAGCCCTCACACAACCAGGAGTCAGACTGCACAGAACTTTGCTGGAGAGGGTGGTGTTCGTTTGTGAAGACTGTGAGGATCCACCAGTAATTCTGAGCTGAGGAAGGACATGGTGTGATTCCCATTTCAGAAAGCCCCTTCAGGTTGCAGAGAGAACTGACTCAGAGAAAATAGTATGAGAGACCATTTGGAAGATTTTTGCAAAGTGAGAAGATTTAATGAGAGACACTTAGAACCCAGAACTTCTCTCCGTGTGCTGAACATCAATCTTGTACTTTCTCTTCTCCCACCGTTTTTTCACTCATCCAGGAATCTATACCTGTTCTGCCCAGGGGATCTGGATAAATGAATTGCTGGGGAGAAGCCTGCCTACCTGTCTTCCAGGTACCTTATCCTCCAAATCATAACTCAGAGGCCCCAGGGCCCCAAGGGCTTTGGCTGTTGATAGAGAGTTGAGAGGGAAGATGCTTCAACTGTTTTTTAAAAGATGTCTCCAGAAGGTTAAAGATCAAAGAGGCCCAGCCTCGCACCTCAAACTAACCAGTGTCTACCCCCAGCCTGTCTACACTCCCACCAGGAACCCTTCTTCCTCTTCTATGTCTAGTTCCACCCCCTTCCCCCTAGATTTTTCATCTAACACAATTTGTGTGTGTACCAGGGACATCAAGAAAATTGAGTATCAAGGAGATGACAACATGAGACAAAGGATGAATAATGTAGGACATAGTAAGAAATTCTTCCAAAGAGCCCTGTATATACAAGTTTTTCTGATTGTTCCCTTCTTCATGTTTTACTCCTGGCCTGAATTTAGAGAAATTTGTGGTAATCGGAAATATCTCTTTGCTCATAGATTTTGGGGATATTTGCAATTAAATGTATGGATGACTTGCATTACAATCACATTGCATATACATTCAAATAAAATTAGAAAAATTTAGCCCCAAAGCACAGACTATAGGGTAAAACAAATATCCCACAAAAATCAATTTAATATTTATAGTAACTTATACATTTCTAAATTTAAAAATTAAGATTAGCAGCACGTAAATGATACAACCATTAAAGACAGCACTGAAGAACACTGAACAGTAGTTGCCCTTTCCGATTTTATATGCATGCTTGAACTTTCCATTATGGTGAAGGAATGGGTGGCCTCTGTATTTTGCTGAATTAAAGTATTGGGAAAGCTGAGGTAGTGTGTTATGTGAATGGCATACTTTAGTAACCTTCCATATTCATTCAGTAGGTGTCTAGAAATAAGGTTCTACGTCACAAAGGAAGGACTAAGGAGTTTCCTACCATTGATCCTTAAAAAGTGAAGAAAATGTTAACATTTAGAGTCAGTTCTCAACCATCACAAATGCACAAGAGCCCCAGAGGAAGAAGTAACTGCATGTGGTGGTTCAGGAGTAGGAGGGAGAGCACCAGGAAAGAAGAATTCACATGAGAAAGAACTTGTGCGGAGGTGGAAAGAGGAAAAGGTCATCCCACCTACACTCTGCTGATCGCACTCACCTCAGTTTGGCTTGGCCATGAGCATGCCCAAGGACACCAGGTGGTGAAGCATCAAGGAAGAGAAGAATGGTATAGCTGTGGCAAACTAGAGGTTCAATTTTACCAAAAGATTATGTGACATAAAGAAAACTAGGGGTGATTCCATCCTGGGATGTCCTGTGGCAACTTCTGGAAGGGTAAGATGCCCTGATGTTGCTGCTTCCTAACTGTGAACATTAATAAGTTTACCTCTCTGGCCCTGGGATTTTGTGCCTCAGAAGTGACCAGGAGATCCACAACATTCTAAAACTCTTAATATTCATCATCCTCTGTGTTTGTACAAAGCATCTTGGATACAATGAGTCATGAAATTCTTTTAACACCCGTAGTGGGACAGAACCATGGTGTATCATTGGACCAAGGCAGAAGTTTCCAAATTCTTTCTTCCTAAAAGGTCAAGATGGAACCAGGATACAAGTCAGGATGGAGAAAGCCATTTTATCTAGCATCAAAATGTCCATCTCTTCAGGGACGACTGCTAAGCAAATATTTGCTCCCATTGTTTTACAGATGTGAAAACTGTGGATCAGAATGACATAGTGATTTGTGCAAGGCTACAGCTGGAGAGTTAGTGGCAGAGCTGTGATATGAACCCAACACTTTTGAACCCAACACAAGTAATGCTGAGCCTTCTGACACTCTAGTCATATTTTATGGCAACCTCATGCTCTCAGAATCCTAGAGGATGACATTTTCACTTTATGGGTCTTCCCTCAATAACCACTGTCTTTTAGAAAATAAGTCTGGCTCCAGTCTAGCCAAAGCTATAACATTTCAAAAATATTCCCTTGTCCTAGGGAAAGCCTGGGAGGAAAATGACTGCAGCTGATCAAAATGGCCCCATTTCAGTTGGGCGCCACGGCATGTGCCTATCCAAAAACAAGGGAAGAAAAAACAGAATGACCCCGTTTCAATGAGCTTTCCTGAAGACATGCTACATCATTCAGACTCTTGAAAAGACAACAGTACTTCATTAAGAAAAACAAGTTTTGGTGGAAAAATAAAGCTAGAGCCAAAGGTTCAACTTCTTTCTCTGGCACTAGTAACTGAGTAAGTCACTGACCATCTCTAAATCCATTTGTCATCTGTAAATTGACCATCCTCTGAGGTTCCTCTGGCTCTGAGCCTTCTGTGACCTGCAGTATGCCACTGGCACCTGGATGGAGGAAGGCACAGTCAGCCCTGACCACGAACTTTGATGTAATCATGGACTGAGCCATGGACATGTAACTTGCCAGATGAGGATCTTTCTGTGTTAAATGAGTTATTATTAAAGATCAGCCACAGACTGCCTTGAGATGTCATTTTAAAGGCTGCTGGTGGAGTGGAAAGCAAGCCCTTAACTTTGAAAGGCCAGGCCACAGAGAGTTAGAAAAGCCAATCCACGTGTGGCCTGGGGTGGATGACAGGGTACAAGAGATCAAGCCAGAAGTTTCTGGCATCAGGAACAAGAGCATCTGAAAAGCATTAAGTTTTGAACGCCTGCCTCCCAACATTGCCAAGAAGACTCAAAAGTTCTTTGGTCTCTAAAGGGCTGTTTGAACTGTCCGGGACCAAGGAGTGTATCATGGCCAACTGCAACAAGCCGGAAGCCCACACTCGTACCCCACTTCCCTTCCAAGCTCAAGCACCTTGCTTGGGAAGGGGCCATGCCAGCTTCTTCTTACCCAGCAGGGGCTGGTATGAAGACCTCTGCTCAGGGCCAGAGGTATTTGTCTCAGGAGGCTGGGGGTGCATGTGCCCACTGGGGTGCAGCTCAGTGAAATGAAATTTTTTCAGACCTTTCTTCTTCCCTTGAAGGTACTGCAGGGCTCCTGGGGGCAATGATGGGTGGTCCTGAGCAGGGCCCATGCATCAGTGCTTGAGGATTATGCCACCTTTCCTCTACATTATATGTCCTGGACCTTAAGCCATAGGCATCAAAATATTTTAATCCAGAGAAGAATGGATTTGATGACCCATTGCCATGCTCTTAATCTTTAACAAGGCAATGTGGAACACAGGACAAAACATGTCTTAGAATCTAGTTAAGGTCCTACTACTCACCTTGACAGGCAGCTCTCCTTAAACAGGTCTCTTAAGCTCTAGAGAGCTTTATAAAGTCCCTAGGGTTAGTCAAAGCAAGTGAAATAAAAACCAAAGGAATTTGAGATCTAAAGGATCCTTGGAGATTATCTTGACCAACTGCTTCATTTGGCAGATCAAAAATTGAAATCCAGGGCAGGGATTTAGCTCAGTGGTTCCACCGTCTGCCTTGCAAGCACAAGGTCCCAAGTTTGATGCCCAGTACTAAAAAATAAAAATAAAAATTGAAATCCAAAGAGGAAAAGTACTGACTCAGAGTCACATGGGAAGTAGAAAAGGCAGGCCAAGGCCCAGGCGTCTTGTCACAATCCAGTAGAGTCTGTAACCTGCCAGATTGTTTCTTAATTTCTTTCTGTCGCTCTACCCCCACGACATGGAGAGAAGTTCTCTGAGTGTCCATATCACGGAGGACTTCTGAGCCAAGAGATCTTTCCCTAGGGAAGAAAACAGAGATATGCCCATTGCTAGGGATGGACCTGGCTAAGGATAGTCCAGGCCAAAAGTGGTCTTAGCCAAATGTGATTCAGGATGAAGAAGGCCCAAGCATGAAATGATCTAGTCCAGAGGTGGCTCCAACCCCGGGGGGCCAGGCTGGAGATGGACCGCCCTGGAGAGACTTAAACCCAAGCAGCAGCCAAGGGCAGAGCTCCCCTGGGCTAGCTGGCTCCGGCAGGTAAGGGCCCCATGGTGGCATAATCGACAGTGAGCGACATATGAACTTCTCTTAGTGCCTCTTTTCATGTTCCTGCCATAATTCGTCTGTCTCTTGTCCCCAATCTCTTTCTCCTCACAGTGTGTGGCCAGCCCTCACGCTCTCTGCCAAACCTGGTCAAGCGGATTATTGGAGGCCGCAATGCAGAGCCTGGCCTCTTTCCGTGGCAGGCTCTCATAGTGGTAGAAGACACCTCTCGAGTGCCGAACAACAAGTGGTTTGGGAGTGGGGCCCTGCTCTCCGAGTCCTGGATCCTCACAGCAGCTCATGTGCTGCGGTCCCAGCGCAGAGGGAACACAGTGGTCCCAGTCTCCAAGGAGCACATCACTGTCTACCTGGGCCTGCATGACGTCCGGGACAAATCAGCTGCTGTCAATAGCTCAGCCACCCGAGTGGTTCTCCATCCAGATTTCAACATCCAAAACTATAACCATGACATAGCGCTGGTGCAACTGCAGGAGCCTGTGCCCCTGGGGCCACATGTCATGCCTGTCTGCCTGCCGAGGTCTGAGCCTGAAGGCCCAGCCCCTCACATGCTGGGCCTGGTGGCCGGCTGGGGCATCTCCAGTCCCAATGTGACAGTGGACGATATCATCAGCAGCGGCACGCGAACCTTGTCCGATATCCTACAGTATGTCAAGCTGCCTGTGGTGCCACACGCTGAGTGTAAAGCCAGCTACGCCTCCCGCTCAGGAAACTACAGTGTCACAGAGAACATGTTCTGTGCCGGCTACTACGAAGGTGGCAAGGACACATGCCTTGGGGACAGTGGTGGGGCCTTTGTCACCCTTGATGACTTGCACCAGCACTGGGTGGTCCAAGGCCTGGTGTCCTGGGGGGGCCCTGAAGAATGTGGCAGCAAGCAGGTGTATGGAGTGTACACGAAGGTCTCTAACTATATGGACTGGTTGTGGGAGCAGATGAGCTCCCAACACAGTGCAGGGGAGCTCCAGGTGGAGCGGTGAGCTGATTTTTCTCCTTGGGGCCTGCTTACCCCGCCCCAGCCAAGTAAGGCTGTGCACACACTTCCAAA